TGGAGGGGGCCCCGCCCCCGGGCGCGCGGCAAGGGGGGGGCCCGCCCCCGGGCGCGCAAGTGTCCCCTCCCTCTGGCACCCGGCGGCAAATGGCCACGCCCCCTGGTGCCCAGCAACATCCAATGGTTGGGGACCACTGAGTTAGAGCCACACACACTAACCTGAATGACTGGTCCTACTGTAGTTCTACCTAGTACAGCCATTTGCCCAGCATAAATACGATTTGCCCCATATTCCCCTGCATGATCCACCCTGATAATGCGATCTATGTCTGGTTTGTTGATGTTGTCCAAGGTCATTCCAGTACTATAAAATCTTAAAGAAGTCTGTTCTGTCTGTAAATTCCATTTTCTTTCATAACCTGTCAAACAGAGGAACAACTGTTGTGAGCTATAATACTCTACCATCACTCAAAACAAGGAAAATCTCAGTGAAATATCTATACAAGCACTTAACAAGGAATGCACACACCATTTACTCAATGTTGTGCCTACTTACTTATCCCTTTGTGATACACGGGAAGGACTCTGAGTCAGAAATGGGAAAAAGGGAAATACATGACAAGTGGTCCTAAGTGGATACGGGGGATTAGCCTCAAAGGAAACCAGATTACCTAGGACTGGAGATGAAGCAGAGAGGTGATGAATGACCCTGGAAAGAGATGGCCTGGTGGGAGGTGATTCTAGGGCAGTATCGGCTTTACAATGGTACCTGATCCATGAGCAGGGCCACTACCACCATGCTATGGCCCATTGTCCCTGGCCAGTCCCTTGCTCCAGGAACTAACCTTCCTACACCATGCTACCCTCCCTCCCTGGGGGCCCATAAATCCATCTGGTGCTGGGCTCACAAAAGGTTAATCCACCTCTACTCCAGAGTAGGGATGTAAAATCCCGTTTAATTAGTTAAAAGTTATGTTTAACCCGTTAATCACTTAAAAAGGGGTGGGAGGCCGCACTGGGCTGCTCCAGCCCAACTGCGGGTTAACTGTAAATGGTAAGCATCATCCGGCAAGAGTAATGCTTACCCATTAACCCAGTGTTTCCCAACCAGGGTTCCGCAGAACCCTGGGGTTCCGCACACCATCATCAGGGGATCCGCGAGAAATCGTGGAATAAATAAATAAAAAAAAATTCTTACAATGTAAGCTAACAATATATAACAGCTCTTTACAACTACATTTTCTTGACAATAATTTAGCAGTAATTGAATTGCGCTCCCTGCTGTCAAATTTTTCTGGCCAAGCAAATGTTTTCATAGGTAAGGAGGGTTCCTTGAGATATGAAAAATTATTGTAGGGGTTCCTCCATGGGAAAAAGGTTGGGAATCACTGCGTTAACCATTCACCTCCCTAGTCCAGAGTGGGGGTACGAGAGGGTGGCGATAGCTGTAACCCTGCAAGGGGACTGAGTGCGGCAGGAAGGGGTGCCCCTGGAAGAGGGCAGGGGAGTGATCGCTGAAAACAGATGACAAGGAAGGGGTGAACCCAGGGGTGGGAGGGCCTATGGAGGTGGGTGACCACAGACAGTGGCAGCGCATGGAATGCCCCGGGAGGTAACGGATATGGGGGAGGGGAAATACCCCGCGAAGGGGTGGGATCTGGGGCCGATGACACCCCACTGCCACCATGAGAGGGGGGCAGCTGTGACCTCGGAAAGTGCAGGGACACGGGGGGAAGAGGGCGGGGCCTGAGGGTGCCCCAGGGACAGGGAGGACCTGGGGCTGCGACACCGAAAAGCGTGGGGGTGACCCCCGCACGAAGCCGAACCTGCCCCGTAGCGGAGACGCTGGCAG